GACATACACAGGCGCCAAGGATCCAAGTGCAACCGATTATGACTAGTAATAATCAGATACATACAGATTAGAGATGCAAGCACCAAATTCTCAGTGTTAGCAGCAAAAACAAAGAATCTTTCTGTAAGGAACAATATATTCTAAAATGAAATGATCTTTTTTAAAGGTTAAAAACTCATCCAATTTTATGTCTTACAGAGCTTATACTGAGTTCAATAATATATAGCTATATTAATTCAACCGTGAACCGTGAAACTTGCAGCCACTGTGAGAGATGTACTGTTGCTCTGGAGTGTGTTACTGAATATGTTAAAGCTGTAGTGAAAAGCTTCTAATCAGTAGTTATTAAAATTTTTTAAAAATATATAATGATTAAAAAAAATAATTCTTCAAAGCATAAAAATTTGCTCCTTAATAATTAGTAGATGTGAAAAACATTATTGAAATCTACAGAAAGTAAGCAACTGTGACTAGTAATAAACAGATATATAGAGATTAGAAATGCATGTGCAAACATCTTAATGTCGATTTCATTAAAAATGAAGCTTTCTGCATGAAACTATATTTTAATAATGAAATGGAGGCCTTTTTTAAAGGTTAAGACATCATTTAATTTGTCTTATAGGATTTATACTGAGTACAATATTGTATAACTGTAAACATAAAATTGTACAGCCAATTTTGTAAGAGATGCATCCTAGCTCAGAAAATTGTTATTGAATATGTCAATGCTGATGTAATGAAATGCTTCTTCTAAGTATGTGGTTATTAAATAAATAATTTTTTAAAAAGATTTAAAAGTGATTTTGGTCTTGGAATCAATATTCTATATTAACATTATGGGAGAATTTTAAGACTGACCGATGATATTAAATCTGTAGAACCATTCATCAGTCAGAACTTTTTCCATTCCAAATTGCAATATTCAAGCCAGATATAATGGCACATGTCTCTAATCCCACCCTTAGGAGGCAGAGTCAGGAGGATTATGAATTTGAAGCTAGCCTGGACTACAGAGAGCAATCTCAAAACAAAACAAAATTACAGCTTGCTTTCACAGGATGTCCCTGGACACACTCACTTTCCTGAAATCGGTAAAGAAATTGTGATTATCTGGCTGCGAATGATCCTCAGGTGTTTCTATTGTCCACAACAGCACTTCCACTTTGTGAAAACACTAGACCCTAACCCTCCTCCTTCAAACTGTCCTCCATTCAGCCCTCTCTTCCCAGTCTCAACCACTTCCTTTCTTTGGAGAATCAGCCCTGCGGAGACCTTGTTTCAGACTTACTTCTTTCAGACTCCTGAAACGTTTTTCTTTTCTTTTTTTGGTCTTTTTGAGACAGGGTCTTCCTGTAGCTCCACCTGTCCTGGATCTCACTGGATAGACCAAGCTGGCCTTGAACTCATAGAGCTCAACCTGCCTCTGCCTCCTGAGTGCTGGGATTAAAGGCACGCACCACCATGCATGGCCCTAAAATGTCTTTTCTTCCTTCTTCAAAATATCAACCCTAACATTTATATCAAGCAAGTAGAACGAATTCAACCATGTGTGCCGCAAGTACTCCAAAGACACAAGAGACCTTGGCTTGGAGCCTGTGGTTTGCATGTTCAATAATCTAATCAGGAGACAGCTAACCTACCAAAAGAAGCAAATCAAAGCAGAAGCCATTACAAGAACCTCCATGATCTTTACTATTGAGTGACTCTGGAGTTCCAAGCAACTAGACGTTAAAGCAGAGCAACATACCAATCGCCTTCAGCCAGGAATGCTACGCTGATCTGCAGAATAACATCCTTCTCAGTGCTGCCACCCAAAGTGGAAGCCCAAGCACAGCTATTAGAAATAAGAGGCCAGGGCTGGAGAGATGGTTCAGTGGTTAAGAATGCTGGCTGTTCCTGCAGAGGACTCGGGTTCTATTCCCAGCACCCACATGGTGACTAACAACCATCTATAACTCCCATTCTAGGGGATCCAACACCCTCTTCTGACCTCCACGGGCACTGAATGACTCGGGTGCACTTACATACATGCAAGCAATACACTTATACACACAAAAAACTAAATAAATAAAATATTTTTTAAAAGAAATAAAGGGATGGGCAT